GCCTTACCAGTCTGCTTATTCTGATTGTTTCTTTTCTTTAATTCATTGGTTATCAGAGTTTTATGCAGTTAGATTTTCTGGTGCTTTTGGTTGTTTATTGATTTTTAGATTGGTTGTTATCCTCTTTTTGGTTGTGCAAGGAAGCTGAGTTTCTACCTATGCCTCCATTTTAGCTGGAACTTGATCTAGTTTCTTTGACAATCCCAATAAGACTCCTACCAGATTAGAGCAGGAACCTTACTGCTTGCTGGCAAATCTGGGCCTTCTGTGCTGAACTTTATAGCTACAAGATGCCAAATGGTTCAAAGTAATTATAGTATTAGTTAAATGACACATCTACATATTGTAACAGAGTTCTTCATTCTAGTTTTAGATCTTTTCAGCCTTGGCTCAGTGTCTCCCCCAAAATTGTAGGCCAGTTCTTTCATTTATTTATTTATTTATTTTCATTAATTCATTAATTCATTCATTCATTCATTCATTTTTAGAGAGGGGAAGGGAAGGAGAAAGAGTGAGAGAGAAACATCAATGTGTGGTTGCCTCTCATGTGTCCCCCACTGAGGACCTGGCCTGCAACCCAGGCATGTGCCCTGACTGGGAATCGATGCTTCACAGGCCCGTGCTCAATCCACTGAGCTACACCAGCCAGGTGTAGGCGAGTTCTTAAACCCTTGTGGTAAGACTGTCCAGCAGTAGAGTCTTGCCCTGAGAGTCCAGGTCCTGCCATTCAAAAGCAAACAATGGTTGAGAGTCTTGGTCAACTGGCATGCAAAAGAAAGCATCTTTTAAGTCCAATACTGAATACCAGAGGCTGTGCAGGGTATGCTGTTCTGTATGTCATTTATAGCTCTTAAATCTTGTATTATAGAGGGAGTGGCAGGGACAAATAGGTCCAAATTTCTGAACCTTCTCAATTATTGTACATATTCCCTCTAGGCCTTCCTTTTGTAGGGATACTGCCTCTTACTGGAGTCTCCACCTCGGGTCTGAGGTCAACTTTAACAAAGGAGGCTGCTAAGCCTTCCCTGGACTTCCAGCAGCCCACACAAAGGTGTTTACTTGATTCTCAATTTTTTATGGTGAGCACTGCTTTCCTCCTTCCCTTAGTTTCATAAGAAAATTCTGGCATGCCCTGGAGGGAACTGTAGGTGGAGCTGTCATTATTCTGGAGAGAGTGATCTGAGCTCAGAGTTTCAATAACAAATCCCAGAGGAGAAAAAACATATCTCCCACAGAACATTCTTAATGTCTTCAAGGAACATTGGCTTTCAGGGCTTCCAGAAATTCCAGTTACAGTTCAGCTAGAGGTCTAAGGACCACAAAATATGTTGCTTTGGTATCAATCAAAAGGGTCTACAATTTGTCCCCCCACTGTCAGTTTTACCTGAGTTCTCAGACTCTGACCTCCTTTTCCCTTGCTTGGGACACTTATTTTTGCAGTGCACTTTTTCCCTTTCAATATGATTGCCCTGCCCTGGTAGGAGTTTGTCATCCACCAAATTTGGTTCCCTAACAGGTCTGAGATAAAGAGATCAGTTCTGGCTCACCTCCTTTGGCTCCCTCAGTCAAGTTAGGAGGAGGACTCCCCAGGGCTGGAGGGGCCATGGGAGCCCTGACCGTGCTTACAGCAGCCATCTTTATCTTCCTGGTCCCTCTATTCTGAGCTTCTGCTATCTGCCATAGGCAAATTCTTTTTTCTCTGAGCCATTTCCCCATTCCTCTGATCTTTGACAAAACAACTCTAAATGCAGTATAGTACAGTAGTTTAAAGAACCATTCATCATCTAGCATTCTCCTAAATCCAGATTAAACATAAGCCAAGCAGCATTACAATAAAAAACCATTTTCTTAGATCATAATCATAGGTCAACCAGTCAGTCAGAATTCACCCCAAAGGTCTGTTCCCAGAACAGAGGCTACCCCACCACCATATTCTACCAGAGCTCTGTAATATTACACAAACCAGAAGGCACCTCTTTACCATACAGAGCTCTATAAACCAGAAACCACCATAATTAAACGGGACTGCAATCCCAAACCAGAAAGCTCAGTGATTCAATTGCAAGTGAAGGTGACATGGGTGCTGAGAATCAGAGAAGAGTCCCCAAATGAAATCATGTGACAGCTGCTAGGGAGTCTCCAATTCCACACACTAGGGCCCCTCAGTCCGAGCAGCCAGTGGGACTTCATGCCAAATAGCCACTTAACAGACTCCTGAAGATGCCTTATCTGGGTCACCTGAACATGAAATTGGAGGTCAGTGATTATGCTGCCTGCCACTACCAGAGTGAATAAGTAGAGACAAGTATTAAATTTTTATGGGTGCTTTATTCAGATGGCTGGCAACATAGAAAGACAGTGGGTTATGTACCCTCAGAAACCGTCTTAACATCTCATTTTAAGTCTGCCTTTTTATAAGAAGAAAAGGTAGGTAAGAGGTTTGGGAAAAGGTTAATTGGATAACAGCAAGTTTCCCAGTACTCCTTTACCTGTTGATCAATTCTTTTTTTTTTTAAATTTAATTGTTATTCAAGTAGTTTTCTGTCTTTTACTCCCATCCCAGCCCACTCCAGATACCAACTGCTGGTTAATTCTTTATCTGCATCCCTCCTTGCAACACAATGGCTCAGATACCATCTCCATGGTTTGCAGATCTCCTAAGGTACAAAAGGTTGAATTGCTTGTGGACCTCTCGGAGTCATTGTGGCCATGCATTTCAGTTCCTGGAATAACAGCTTTCCACGTGCATTAATCCCTTAAGCCTGTTAACTAAGGCTAAAATCTCTGACTCTAGAGTTCCCCTATCAAGTAGGCAACTTGGGAACTGGGTGTTTGGCTAACACAGAGGCAGAGGTAGATGTGCTTCACTTCTTTAAACAATCAAAAGAAAGATAACAACCAATTTAAAAAGAAAAAAAAAACAAGAACTGCAGAAAAATCCAACTGTATGGAAGTCCAACAACCAAGAAGTTAGAGAAACATTCATCCAGACTGGTAGGAGGGGCGGAGACAGGAAGCCGAGGCAACAAAGATGCACAAAAAGGTAGCAGTTGGTGGGCCAGGGTGGGAGAAGGAGATGGTGGACTGACATATCCCACATTTGAGTGAGGATAAGATGGGAAGAACAACTGGGGAGCAAGACAGTCTGTGCAACCCAGGGTTCCACCACGGGAAACTAAAGACTCAAAGTCTCTGTCTGTAAAAACCTTTGGCAGGTGAGGCAGCAGGAGAAACTCTTAGTCTCACTGGAGAGTCCATTAGAGGGACCCACAGGGTCCTAGAATGTGCACAAGCCCGCCTATCTGGGAATCAGCACCTGAAAGGGCACAATCTGCTTGTGGGAAGTGACTGAAAGTGGAGTGAGAGCCAAGCAAGTGACATTGTTCCCTCTCTGACTCTTTCTCCACATACAGTGCTACAATGCAGCAAAGAGGTTTGCCTGGGGCTCTGGCCCTTACAATGTGCACCTTAACAAAAAAAATATGGCCCAAATGAAAGAACAGATCAAAGCTCCCCCCAAAATGCAACTAAGTGATGAAGAGATAGCCAACCTATCAAATGCACAGTTCAAAACCCTGATTATCAGGATGTCCACAGAATTGATTGAGTATGGTCACAAAATAAAAGAAGAAGTGAAGGCTATGCAAAATTAAATAAAGCAAAATATACAGGAAACCCACAGTGAAGGAAGGAAACTGGGACTCAAATCAAAGATTTGGAACAGAAGCAAGAAATAAACATTCAACTGCAACAAAATGAAGAAATCAGAATTTTTAAAAATGAGGAGAAGCTTAGGAATCTCTGGAACAACCTTAAACATTACAACATCCAAATCATAGGGGTGTCAGAAGGAAAAGAGGAAGACCAAGAAATTGAAAACATATTTGAAAAAAATAATGATGGAAAACGTCCCTAATCTGGCAAAAGAAATAGACATACAAGTCCAGGAAGTTCAGAGAGTCCTAAAGAATTTGGACCCAAGGAGGAACACACCAAGGCACATCATAATTACATTACCCAAGATCAAAATGAAGGAGAGAATCTTAAAAGCTAAAAGAGGAAAGAAGATAGTTACCTGCAAAGGAATTCCCATAAGACTACCAGTTAAGTACTCAAAGAAACCTTGCAGGCTAGAAGGAGCTGGAAAGAAGTATTCCAAGTTATGAAAGGCAAGGACCTGCATCCACAATTATTCTATCCAGCAAAGCAATCATTTAGAATGGAAGGGCAGATAAAGTGCTTCCCAGATAAGGTCAAATTAAAGGAGTTCATTTTCACCAAACCCTTCTTATATGAAATGTTAAAGGGACTTATCTAAGAAAAAGAAAAAGATCAAAACTATAAATGACAACAAATGAAAATAGTAAAATGACAATAAACACAACTATCAACGACTGAACCTAAAAAACAAAAATAAAAACTAAGCAAACAACTAGAACAAGAACAGAATCACAGAAATTGAGATCACATGGAGGATTATCAGCGGGAAGGAGGTTGGGGAGAATGGGGGTAAAGATACAGGGAATCAGAAGCATAATTGGTAGGCACAAAATACACAGGGGAAGATTAAGAATAGTATAGGAAATGGAGAAGCCAAAGAACTTATATGTACGACCCATAGTTATGAACTAAGGTGGGAGAATGCTGGAAGGAGGGGTAGTGCTGGGCAGAGAGAGATAAAGTGGAGGGGAAAATGGGACAACTGTAATAGCATAATCAATAAAATACACAAAAAAAGAAGGCAACATGGTTTTAGGAAGCAAGAAGCCAGGGAGAGCCAGACTAGGATGGGGAGAGGGTCCTGGGGTAGGGAGGCTAAGAGATCCCATTCCAAGTTTCCCTGAGTGATGCCCAACCCAAGGCCTTGGGGGCTGGTTTGTGAACTGGGGGAGGAAGCTTATATCTAGGTAACCCTCCCTGGGGTCTTCAAGCATACGAGGGAGCACATGGTTGACCAGACCACATGTGCAGTCCACAGGGAGCCCCTAACCCAGTGACAGTCAGCAGTTGAGGCCAATAGACACTAGCAGGCCCTCAAGGGCATGTAGCTGCTGCTGCATCACCTCAATGTTGCTGTAGATCTATACCATGCTGGCCATGTAGAAGCGGATATCATCTATCAGCAGGATAGACCCCAGCTTTTGCCAACCACCAGAGCCACCACATCTTCCCTCACAGCCTCTGAGAACTCTTTCCACTCTACCAGCTGTGAACAGACTAGCTCAGGGCATGCCTGCTGCCCACCACTGACCACTGCCTGCCCCCACCCACCAAAGCGTATACAGCCCACCTTCTTGATAACCTTAGCCATGTACTCATTGCACTGATCCTCAAAGCCTACCAGGCAAAATAGCTTGGCCACAGGCCACACACCTGCACATGCCGACCATGGTATCCTCATCCAGCAGCTGGGCCAGACTGCAGTCACACAGTTGTTTCAGACCCAGCAATAGGTATATGTTAGCCATCTTCAGCATATCATAAGCCACATTTGCAATGGGGGGGGGGGCAATTGTAGTGAAATGAGGGTGAGGAAGGGTGCACCTCGAGGTCACCAAGACCTCTCAGGGGCCCAGCTGTAAGGTTGGGACCTGCTGGGGAGAGAGGTTGGAGGCTTCAAGCAGAGCAGACGCTCCCTACCCATGCCAGGTGCCTGGCCTAGATCCCCACTGATATAAATGGGACCAAAAGGGACAGAAGAACCTGGAGTTCCCATGCCTCAGGCAAAGCAAAGCCTGAGCTCTGAATCACACAGACATGAGCTAGGAAATTCTACTTGTGGCATCTTGGGCAAATCACTTCACCTCTGTGTCTTAGCTGCCCTGTGAGCTGCAGACAATCATGCCTGCCTTAAAAGGCTGCCAGAAAACTGACAAAAGTTGCTTCTGGTAAAAGTAAGGCAGAGACCCTACTAATGGAGGGGAAGTAACAATTTATTAGCTCCCTCCCACCTATAGAGACTGTGGTATTTAGGGCATAGCCATAGTTGTACCCTGTGCTGGAAGAGATTATGTGCTCAGCTCTGGTCCTGACTCTGGATGGCCACAGGAAGCAGGCTGAATGTAGAGCTGACAGGACCTCTGCCAACCCATCACAGGTCATGTGCATGGTACTTACTTGTGCCAGGCACTGTACTTGCAATGTGCACATTCAACCACACAAGACCTTAAGAGGTAACAACTATCAGCACCCCCATTTTCTAGAAGTGGAAATTGAAGCATAAAGCAGTTGAGTAACTAGCCCAAGATCTCACAGCTCTGTGGGGGACTAACCCAGAATTAAACCAGATTTGGAGCCCAAGTCCTTGCTCTGAGTCATTAAGAAGCTGCCCTCTGGGTGGCAAAGCTTCCTGGGGTCAGGATTGGCCAAGGTGGAAGCTGGGTGGCAGGGTCCAGAGAGCTTGACTACACTACAGGAGAAATGAAATAAGGAGGTAGGAGGGATTCTCTAAAAGGCTATGTGGTAAATACTGTGTGCCACAGGGTCTCTGTCACAGCTGCTCAGCTTTGCCATTGAGTAAAAGCAGCTATGGACAGTACAGAAATTAATGGGTGTAGTTGTAGTTTTCATAAAAAATTATTGACAAACAGGCTAGATATGGCCTGCAGCCCAAGTGGAATGAATAACCAGCAAGCTGCCTGCCCAGGTATACTCACCTCCACATGAAAGGCAGACAAACTTCTCTCTTACAGAAATTGCCATATGTACAATGGCCTTTACAAACACACACATACCTTGGTAGAGAACACTCTTGGCACTATCTGCTGCCACCGATGTTGCCTTGTGTTAGGGAGGCCTTGGAGCAGGTGAAGATAGAGGGAGGCAGTGAAAAAACAGAAGACAGAAGATAAAGAACCCCAGGAGTCTGCAGTAAACTACAGGCAGGAGGCTCAGAGATGCTCACTATTGTGGGAATCCAGGGTTACTGTCCTCTCATTGAAGAAGTTGGGGACCCTATGTGGCTGAGTTGTCCCCAAGTGTCATGTGCTCATGACATGGGTGTTGTCACTCATTCCAGTTCTAGAACCTACTGAGGGCTCTTCCACCTAAAAGAAAAATGCAAATGGGCCCCACACTCCCTCTCCAGCCACATGGAAAACCTGCCTCTCAAAGCCAGTCAGGACCTGGGTACACCCTTAAAGCCCCAAAGTGACATGGGCTGTGTGCCTGTCCTGACCATCGTGCCTCCTGGCCCTGGCACAGAACACACAGCCCACCCCAGCCTGCACCTTGGGGTGGCTGCTGTATGTGTAGTAGATAGAACGCATGGGTGAAGATGCAGGGCCAGATTCAGGGTGATGGCTGGAAGGTAACCAATGGTCTCCAGTCCCTCATTCTCTCCAAAGTAGTCATCCAACAGGGCCTGGAAGTAGTCACTGTGGCCAGAAGAGAAGGCTTGGGGAAGGCTAGGCTTAGGGGAGGCCAGGGCCAGGGCTGTGCCCAGAGGAGCTGGCCCAGGGCTTAATGCAGGGAGGGGGTTGAATATCACCTTGTGAGAGAGACAGCTGTAGCCCTCCACTCAGAAGCAAATATTAGGAAAGATTTTGAAGACATCAGGAAAAAGGAAGGGCAACTCCCCAAGACACCTTGGAGAATGTAAGAGGAGATACCATTAGAGCAAGTGAGAGAAGGTAGAGAGGTTGGCCTCCACCAAAAGCCTACTTTGCCTTGATCCTGGAGGCATGGACTGCCACCCTGTTTGCATATTTAAATACAAGAGAAACAACAGTGTACAACTAGGCTCAGAAAAGGGGTAGGGGTAGGGGTAGGGTGCAGACAGCCAGTAGGACCAGGTCCTCACAGAGCCAGGAGTCCTCTGGTGGGGGAGCCTGATGCTCAGAACCTTCACATACTTGTAAGTGCCTGAGGAAACAACACAGCTTCAGTGAGTTAGGTTGGTTCTGCCAGTTCCTTCCCAAAACCCTGGATCCCAAAGCCTAGACACACCAACTCAGACACTACCTTGCACTTGGCCTCCAGGTCATTGATCCAATAGCTGGCAATGCTTGGCCAAGCACTCAACAGTCACTGTGTTCCACGCTGACCTCCAGGTGGCCTGGGAGCAGTGTGGGAAGTTCAGGGCCTGAGAGGGGCCATTAACAGTATACTACATTGGCATGTAAAGTTTCATAGGTGGTCCCTCCTTCTCAGCCAACTGGCTGCAGAATTGGGACTTGTGGGCCTACATGCTGCTTTGACTTCTCCATAAGAGCCAGTGCCTGAGTTCTACAGGTCCCAGAACAGATGGGAGGGGAGCTAAGTTTATGGGTGAAACAAGCTCTTCCTCATCAGATACACCAACTCATTGTCTGCCAACCCAACCCAGAAGGCAACTGGAACTGCCTCACACTGCAGGGAACAAAGCACCAGGCAGTAAAAGGTAAGCCTAAGGCCACAACTGGGTCTGCTCCTGGACAGAAACACAGCCTCCGCACTGCCTGCTCAACCCTGGCCTGTGGGTCAGGGATCACTGTGTATAGGTACTGCAGCAGGGCCCCAAAGGCCACGGGGTTGATCTGCAGGAAGAGACAGCCAGGAAGGAAGGTTAGAAGTATGGCCCAGCACAAGCCCCCTGCTGTCCCTCTGCTACCCCACCCCAGAGAGGGATGCACCAGTGGGTTCCTGAGGACCATGATGCTCTTGCCCTTCCATTTGGTGTCCAGTATGTTGGTGAAGTAGGCACCGAATGCACCCATGATACAGTGATGGGCTCAGAAGGGCTTCTTGTGTACCATGAAGAACACCTCTCCTTAGTCACACCACTCCAGTCCCCCCTTCCATCCTGTAGGAGAGCCCTCAGCCCTATGCAGGCCACACCTACCTCAGACCCACTGGGCAAAGGCCATCCGCATGCCCTGTGTCTATCCACTACTGTAGGAAGTAGTCACAGTAGTCCCACTTCCTACAGGAGGCTGTCACTTGCTTCTAATTTTGCAGGGCCCTGGTGGATGGTATCACTTACAGCCCCATAGAAGCAGCATTCATCCTGGAAGGTGTTGGCCTTGCAGTGGGCTCCTGGGGGCAGCGGGGCCATGGGGCTGCATGCTATATAGTTGGGGAGGGGCCTGGGGAAATCCTAATTTCCGTCCTCCTCCTCTTCTCCTCACATGTAGGATCCATATACCCTGGGGACACATTCCTAAATGACCCTGGGCCCACTCTGACCCTAGGGCTTAGGCACACAGGCAAAGCCCTGTACATTCACACACACATATTCACTCACACATACCACAGACTACACAAAACAGAGTAGGCTGAGAGGTTGGCCTGGTTCTGTGCACTGAGGACACTGCCATTGACAGGTCCCTGTTCTCACTGAAGTGACATTTAGTGGAGTAGAAGAACAATAAACATATTAACAAATGATAGCAGGTGCTATGAAGAAAAACAAAGCAAAGATGAAGGGTGACAGTGACAGCGGCTACCACAGAGGGAGGCCATGGAAGGGTACTGTGGCAATGACAATGTGCAGAGACCTGAATGAAGTGAGTCAGCCATGCAAAGATCTGGGAAAAAGCAGTCTAAGCAGGAAGAATAGCAAGTGCAAAGGCCCTGAGGTAGCACAAACTTGTAGCAGCACAGAGGAGACCAGTATGGCTGGAACAGGGAGCACATGGGAGAGCCAAACAAGAGAGGCCAGAGGGAGAGAAGGTCATGTAGCAACTCCCAAGCAAAGCAAGGCATTCCATTTCTACACTAAATACATTAAGAAGCCATCAGAGGATTGTAGATGGAGCAGAAGAGGCAGCCATAAGACCAGCGAGAAGGCTGGCACTGCATCTGGTCCAGGGACAGATGTGGTAGCTGGAATAGGCAGGAGCAGCAGAGATGCAAGGTGGACAAAGCAGAGAGTAGGTTCTGAAAGTAGAGCTAACAGTACTTGCTGAATGGGTGTGCAATGAGGAAAAGAAAGGACTCAAGGCTGTTTGCAAACGTGTACACATGCCTTATAGCACTTGCACACATGTACACAAACATCCATAGCCCCTGTTGCCTTCCCTCACCAATGGCCAGAAGGTAGAGTGCCAGCGCTTCAGCTCCACCTGAGGTGGAGAAGGAAGAAGTACTGGGAGGGAGCTGCCAGGACTCAAGCAGCAGCCTCTTCTACGCTGAACACCCACCCAGCTAACACTCACAAGGGGATGGTGTTCCACTTGTCACATACATTCACATCCACATCTCACTGCTGCAACAGGTACCTGGATGGCAGGGGCGGGGGGGCAGGTGTCAGAGCCTGGGTCAGTACAGGCTCATAGTCTGGGAGGGGAGATCCATGGAAGTAGGAGGGAAGACATTCTTTGTGGCTGAAGGAAGCCTCCCCCAGGTAAGGCAGGTGACAGAAAGACCAGCACAGACGGTGTGGAGATGAGAACATAAAAGACAGATCCTGAGCATCAGAGGCCAGGACCTAGAGCTGAAGAGGCTGAGACTCTGGCCTGAAGGCATTTTGGAGAGAGGAGGTGATGGGGGCTCTGCTTTAGCCAGGACCCTCTGGTGACTTAGGGAGGCTTTAGGCAGGGAGGCCAAGGAGGAAGCTGCCTATAGGCATCCTGGTGGTGTGGAAGTATGCAAAGAAGTAGAGATTCTAGAAGGTGGAAGTCAGGAGAAAGGTACAACAGATGATGCAATGTCGAGGCAAGGACATCATCATGGATGGTGGTGGAGCCAACATTGAGAAGGGCAGCCTTGAGGGGTGTCCAGGTTGGACCAGGGGATGCTGAGTAGCATTCAGCTTTGGGAGTTATCTACTAACTCCCAGGTGGCACCTGATGAGAGAGAGTGGCCCAGGGGAGCTGTGGGAATAACTAATGGGGAAGGAAGGGCCAAGTAAAAGAGGTGCCCCACATCCCAACAGGGCCCCCTCTCCACTCCCACCAGAGCCATGGAGATGGTGATTTCAGCTCCATATGTGCTTTAGCTGCATTAATTAATTTCCTAATCTCCGATGACCAGAGGCTGACTGTGGGCCCATGTTTTCCCAACACCAGGTCCACAGGCATCAGGGAGAGGAAACAGATCAGGAGTCCCAGGCCTGCACCTAGTCTGACCTCAGCCTCCAGTACTCAGAGGGTGAACCTCCTCTCCTCCCACTTGTTCTCCAGGGCTCCACAGCAGTCCTCTCCTCCAAGAAGTCCTTTGGGACCATCCTATCCCCACACTCCCATCTGTAAGGCTACTGTGACCCCCGGCGGCCTTTTGCCAGTGGTCTGTGGTGAGAAAGGTGCTGGTGCAGAGGCCGCATGAACTTGTCCTGGAGCCATCCCCTGCAATGCAAGGGGCTGAAGGCACTCTTAGGGTGAAGGCACCCTCTCAGGGCTGCGGGGTCCTCACTGCAATAGGCCCAAGTCCCCCTTCCCGCAGCTGGTGATGAAGGCTCTGGAATCTACGGCACTGTCGAGCGGGCACCCGTGAACTGGCCACAGGCAGCAGAGGTGGCAGCAACTTTGACGCTCCCGAGGACATAAACAGACACCTGCGGCCCCACTCCTCCCTCCCGCTCACCCCACCCTCAAGTTCCCACAGCCCCACCCGCCCCGCAGCAAAAACCAGTCGGGCAGGCAGAGGGACTGGACCCGGTGTGGGCTCCGAGCGGTTTTAATGGGGGGTCCGGGGCCGGCCCCTCAGGACATCAGGTGTGGAGGATTATTCCGAGGCTACGTGGGGTGAGGGGGAAGCGGGAGGAGCCAGCACCCGGGACCAGGTTGTGGGGGGAACCAGGCTGTGGGGGAGCGGCGGTCAGGAGGGAGGGAACGCTACTGTGCGTCCCAGTCCATCTTGCTTGTCCTGATGCAGTGGGCTCACGCCCTCCTCACAGGTGCGTGTCCTCCTCGAACATGTCGGAGTCCTCTGGGTCACGCTTTCCCCCTATGAGCACGCTCCAGCCCCCCGGGCCGTTGACCACCCTGCCGCCGTTCAGTCTGGGATGCTTCTCTTGCATCTCCGACTGGCTGTCACTGGCCACATCCAGCGTGGGGTTGTCGTGGCAGCCGTTCTCTACGAAGCGCAGCTCCTCACCGTGAGACTGTGAACCGGGACCAGGCTGCTGGGCTAGGGCCTCCACCCCGGCCCAACCCCCCCCCCCCCCCCCCCCCCCGCCTCTGACCAACCAACCAGTTGCTCGTTAGTGCCCAGACGACCCAGCTGGTGACCTTGAACAAGTCACTTCATTGTGCCTTCCCTAGTCTATAAAGCCCTATACAGGGAACCCCAAGGACCCTGGACAGATGGCACTTTCCTTCTGTTATGTTTCCACAGCCCAACTCCTTCTTAAAATAATTCTACTGATCCTTTGACTAAAGCCTGTGGCCTCCAGAACACCGGCTGACCCCTCCCAACAGCCTCCTTATAAAGAGAAATTATGGGACTCCTGGGAAAAATGGGAATCTTGCCCTGCTATCTCCTCTGTGGGGATTATTTTCTGACTGTTGGGCAGTGCTGAACTAGGGCTTCTCTGGTGAGAACTCCTGAGATGAGCTCAGGCCTTGCAGGGCTACTCTGCCCCAGAACAGGTTGGTGCCATGAAGGACTCCTGTGGTTGGGGCTAGTTCCCTACACAGAAGGTCATTTGAGATGCAAACATTGGACAGGTAGCCTCACCTGCAGCACTCCATCCCAGGGCAACTACTGCCAGCCCACATGAGATAAAGATGACAAGTTGATGGGCACTTCCATCTCCACCAGCATTGTCCCCAGCCCAGGACCTCTGCCCCACCCACCTCCGCACTCACCACATGTTTCAGCTTGGGCAACCGGCGCTGCCAGCAGTTGTAGAGCAAGCCCAGAACAATGATGATCACACAGATGGCACCGATGACCACCAGCACCACAAAGAGCGTCCCGTAGTCACTACGCACCTGGCTGGCCCGGGCGTGGCAGCTACTTGTCATGGAGTAGTTCTGGATGCCAATCTGGGTTTGGAAGGGGCCAGGCTCCTCAGCTGAGGTCCTGGGGTGCCATGGCTCCCACCCCAACATGGGGCCATGGGGTTGGGAGCTTAGGAACAGGGACAAGCTGTGAGGAGGAGCAGCACACTCCTGGCTCCTGAAGCTCCCTTAGGGGCCTGGATCTGTGTTCATGAGTAATTCTCTCTGCCCTATGCCCACCCTGTTTACCTGGGGGCAGCTTCAAGCCTCTCTACCCAAATCTCCATTCCTTGCCTCCCCCTAACATCCCCACCATGGCTGTGATTGACCCTGACCTTGTGACAAAAGTCTGGCTCTAAATCCTCCTAGTTGTGTCTCTGACCCCCACTGAGACTGCCCTCCCATGCTGTCAGTCATGATCCAAACTCAAAAGAGTCCCCACACCTGTCCCACCAGTTTGAAAAAAGGACAAAGGCAGCTGTGATCCCCGTGCCACACATCCTCCATCACACACCACCACAGGCTCAGGCCCCTGAGACACAGCTTCCACCTTGGGGGTAGGGTATTCTAGTATTAACCTGCTCTTCATGGGACACAGATAGTGCAAGGGATGCTGGGGACAGCCCACATCATGGGCCAACCCCAGCTTTTACCTTCCTTTTCCCACTGGAGTGGTCACCAGTGGTATTTACCTGCCGAGCCCCATTCCCGCATTGCTGGTTGTCTTGGGTGGGCCTGCTTTTTCTGGCCCAGAGGCATTGTGCTCTGACCCAGCCCAGCAGATGTTTACTCCATAAATCAGCATCCAGGCAGAAAGGGAGCAAAGAAGGTGAGATACCCTCCTCAGAAGACAGGTTCCAGGGTGAAGGTGTTGTTTCCTGGTACCTGGTGCAGTGAGCTGGGAGTCCCCTTTCTGCAGGTAGTCAGCTCTTCTTTGGTTTCTGTGAATCGCCTGTGTATTTCTAGTACTTTTCTCTATTGACTCTAAGTTATCAAGAGTCAATTTTTTTCTTGATAGAACTTGATAAATTTGCCCACTAATATATTTCCAAAGGCCTGGCATGCCTTTGGCCATGTCAAACAGTATGAAGTATCCATTAAAGCCAGAACAGCCAGGGGCTGGGAGAAGGAGCAGGAAGGTCTATAAAAAAAATGTCAAGGCCAGCCTGTTCCTACCAGCTCTCAGGGTTCAAACACCCTAACGTTCATAACCAGAACAGCCCTTAGTAAAGGCACAGCATCAAGGTGAAAGACCTGAGTCTTGAGTCATTCCAAAGTTACTAGCTGTGCAATCTCAGAGGAGTTAACTGCCCTTCCCTGGGCTTCAGCTCTAATCTTAAATGGAGTACCAAGATTACTCAATAGGGTGCCTTATTTAATGCTCAAAAGCCCTGGGGTGGTGGTAAAGGAACAGAGTACAGTTTGGCACTCAGTAAGCATTCAATAAGCTAGTCAAAAAACCCAGAGCCCCCACAGAATTCACCCCTCAACCTTGTGTGTAGTAGATGAGGAGGCAGGACCACAGCCATGCACAGCTCATCTTTGTTGTCCAATACTGCACAGCCCTCAAGGAGGAAGACTGATGACAGATCACTGAATTTCACAGTAAGTAGAAGGATTTTAGTAGAAATGATGACTGTCCTCAAGAAGGGATGTGGAATGAGGAGCAGGAGGGAATGTGGATCTGCCCCTCCATCAGCCATGGCTCTGCTCCACTCTGTGGGTGGTCAGCCTGTCTCCTCAGCCAAGGTCTCCAGGATGGGCCAGATAGATGTTAGTCAGGTGAATCTCAAGAAGGCCTGGCTGTCTGCTGTGCCCTAAGCCCCACCCCCCAACCCCAGCTGGCCAAGCACTGCCTACTCCCATGGTTTCTGAAGAAATGCCCAGGCCTCTTGTGCTTTCTCCTCTGGTTCTGGAGCCACAGCACATGCTCCTACCCGCCAGGGTTCTGAACAGTTCCTTGGCCAGACATAGTGTTTTTCCCCACTGTCTACCCCAAAACCTCCCACCTACTTGTCAATATGCCCCTCAGAGGTCTCCTCCCCTCTGAGTCCTCTCCTGATCACCACCCACTCCTTGGCCCCTTTCTGCCCTTAGCTGTCACATGCACACTGCAGTTGGTAGTTAAGTGCTCAAACACTCTGTCCCTCCCATGGGAACTGTGTCTTGGGAGACCTGAAAGGAAGAGCTACAGAGCAAGAGTCTATTTTTTTTTTTTGCTCCTTTGCACCACATGGTGCAGGCTGCCCTCCTGTCCTCAGGCAGCCCTGCTCCCACAGCCTTAAGGAACAGGAGAAGGACTCATCCCTGCCCTCTTACCTCCACCAGACTCCTGCGGATATCACCCAGCATGGAAAGGACATCTTGAGTGGGCACCACTCCTGGAGGGAGACATCAGCAGCAGCACAGCCTTGGCCACTGAGGCACTCCCCCTGCACACTCCTGGCCCCTTGGACAGCCTCTGACCTGAGCTTCTTCTTCTAGAGCTCCACTCCCTGGCTCCTGACCCCATACAGATCTCATGGTGCATGCATGACCACTCTCCTCTGCTTGCTGCCCACTGGTTGACTCATTAAGAAAAATTAGTGAGTTCCTACTGACAGTTGTGATACCAGGAGGTCACTTCCACAACTCCTTAAAGCTAATTCTAAACACACCCCTTTTTGTCTCACCATAAAGTGTACAGTACAACTGTCTGGCACCTGTGCTGAAACCACACCTCTTCCCCCTCCTATTCCCAGTGTTCCCACCTTGTTTCTCCTCCTGTTTCCCAGCTTATTGGTACCCACAGACCCTAAATTAGGGAGTCCAAGCAGCACCTCATCTTGCCATCCTAAAAGCCCAGCGCACATCCAAAAGCCTTTGGCCGCACTTCCCCACAGTCCTGCAGGATTGCTCCCATGGCCTTAGGAAACTTCTACAGATTTGGCCTGCCTCCCACTGCTCTCCTGGACCCTCTCACCAGTTATGCCAATACCTGTCCTTGGGTACCCCTCCAGCTCACCCTGCTCGCCCACCAAAGTCATCAGAAGGTGCTGCTCCTTCTCACTGGGCTTGCTCAGGGAGATGTGCCAGTCTCCATGGTAGCTGCTGCCATGGCGGGGTAGCACCTCCTCCACCAGGGCCAGGAGCTGCAGCCCCCAGTGCTGCCGAAACACCTCCTAGAGGGGCAGAAAGAGAGCCTATGCTCAGTGAGGAAGACAGCTCTAATTATTCCTGCCTCTAGTCCCAGCCCCCCTCCAACTTCCACCCACCAGTCAAACACTTGGAAAGACCATCTGGCTATTACAGAGGGGGATGCTCTGGACTACTCAAGAAACTGTAAGCTTGGCCTTCAGGAGGACTATGGGTTTGTTCCCTACAGACATCCAGGTGCTCCTTCCCACCTTGGTTTTGTACCATCAGGAGGCCATGGGACCTGTCCAGGGATACTCACAGGTGAGCTGGGAGAACGCAAATGCCCACATAGGATGACAAGTCCAGGAAGGGGGTTTGTAACATGTGAAGGGGTATGAAAGACTGTTCATGGTGCCTATGTGTATAGTGCAAAGAATGAATATTTTGGGATGTGGCTGTAAAGGGCCAAAAGATGTTCTCATTCATGCAGCCACTAAAGACCGGGAGAAAGGTGAAAAGCAGTCTAACTGTTCTCATTTCTCATCTATCATTGCAGAGATACAGCCCAAATTTGGGGGCCAAGAAAGGTATCTCAGCACTTTAATGATGGTAGTGGCAACCAGAAGAACTAAAGAAATGGTTAAAATGGTTACCCAATCCCCCTGGAAAGCAGGGCTGGGAGCAAGAACAGGGGTATAAGGAGTCTTCTTTCTCATCTTACACTCTCTTGTACTCTAGATTGTCTTGACCTTGTATCTATGTAATTACATTATTTTCTTTTTAAGCAAGAAGCT